CGTCGGCATCTTCATATCCGGTCACATGGGCGGCAAGCCACTCCCACAAAGGAGGCCACACCCACAGAGTAGGTTTGAACAATTTTTGAAACCCATCACTGCCTGGCATAGTTGTGCCTTCCAGGACTGGTAAGCTCATCTTAAGCTTTCATTCATTTTCCTTAAAAAAGATCTCACCTTTAGATCAACTGAACTGACCAGAATGTAAAACCTGATCAGGAAACCCAGAAAAATGTAGTCATAGGATTTGCAGGCATTGTTGAAGATTCAGACAGTGGAGAAAGTGGGAGATGGAGGAAGACATCTGGAGGCTATAGGCGCATCTCAACTAGAAGGCAAAACAAAAGCCGAAACCACATGGAGTTTGAAGTCTGGTAGGACTATGGCAGAACCAACCAGATGTAGTTATAAATGAACGGCAGGTATCCAGCAGTGAACATCAAACACAGATCTGAACTGAACTTCAAGGAATAATTTTTTCTGTGCGTGCACATATTTTACTCCAACGAAGAACTCGTAACACCTTCCTCACAAACTCCATGAGGGACACCTGCATATTCATCAGGAAGAACTGTATCAGGAACGGATTATGAGAAATGAACCATGTGGCATATATACAGCCTGCAAGAACTACAGATCTATCTAACAGAATATTTTTATACATTGATCAAACTAAGGACCTAGGTGACTGCAGGTTATTAGTGTTATAATCTGTGGGTTTTTAGATGTTACTACGCTACAACCCCAGGATCCTTCGCTAGTAAGCCTGTTGCCTGGCATTAATTGGCTCTCATATAAATCTGAAAGAACGATCATTATGCAGGATATTGGTGTGAACTCAAAAAGACTTCATACATGCTTGGTTTAAGTGAAAGGACTGAACAAGAACTAGGGTCTTAGAGCAGAATCCCAAGCTTCCTGTCATCATGACTGAGTTTTAGGTACCAATTAATACATATCAAAGTGTCTTCATCTGGTGGGGGGGGGGTCTTCATCCTTCTGTTGGACCTTGGCATGTTTTAAGCAAGATTTGCTGACTAAGTCACAATATCCATGTTTATAAATCAAAACAAGTCTGCTTAATTGACTGAAGCACAGGAAGTCATCTAAGGGATTTGTTGATGTTCAGATTTTTTTCACTTTACTGATTACTGAAAACAAGTCACCCACCTTGAACATATTATAAACCAAGAATGAAAGCATATGCATAATTTTGCTCTGGTGCTCCGTGATATGACCAGATTTTTAAAAAATCTTCTATAATACCAAGTATTCCAGAAGATTATGGCAAGTATGACAGAGTATTACAATAACTCAGTGTTTCTCAACCTTGGCAACTTGAAGACGTCCGGACTTCAACTCCCAGAATTCCCCAGCCAGCGAATGCTGGCTGGGGAATTCTGG